ATAGAAATAATATTACAGACCCTAGCGCAGCCTGTGACCCGTCAAAGATGAAGGAAATAAACTGAGTTAGCTGTCTTCTGTCATTACGCCGTGTAATCTGATGGAAGTTTACCAACGTTTCAGATGTTCCTGCTGCCTCCATCAACAGGGCAATTCAGAACACAGTCATCTTCTAACTCAGTGGTATTCAACCTGGGGTACGCGTACCCCCGGGGGTACGCGAAGACATCTTAGGGGGTACGTGAAATTTTACAAAATATATACTATTTTACGATAAACACTGAATAATCAGTAATGTAATTTATTTAATTTATTTTAGATGTAGATTAAATACTATGTATAACTTGAATTATACACCAACAACTCTGGGGGTACAAAGTTGAAGAGAATTTATATCTGGGGGTACGCGAACAAAAAAGGTTGAATACCACTGCTCTAACTCACAGCCGTGAAAAACGCAAATTCTACTGGGAATAAACCTATTTCGTGTTCTATTGCAGAATTATATTTTCAAGTGACAGTACAAAAAGTGTAATACGTCTTTATAAACTAAATTAAATGTAAGAAAACCTTCACGGCGACTGAAGTCGGACTCTTGCCAAAAGCACACTCCAATTTTTCGCCCGAACTTTGAGACTAGGGATACCTTAATGACTTTGATGTTCTTGGATGATGTGTGCGTCTTGTTTATCGTCAGCGAAACTCTCGTTCTTCGTCATCACTTCCCGCCCTGGAGGCCCAAAACGTATTTCATGTATACGCAAGTTAGACCAAGTTAACTGTGAAGACGATGCACAGGTCTGTTGCTAATCCTGTTCTTTCTTACAAAATCCGTGAAAGGAGGAGAATGAAAGAAAACAAGAAAATAATAAAGGAAGAAACAAAATAAAATGCTTTAAATATAGAGAAAACTTACAAGTTACTTGTATGTGATGTTAAGAATGAAAGAAGCACTGTAGAAATATTTATCGAGATCCAGAAGCATCATTAATGAAATAGAAAAATATAATAATCTTTATTTTCGTCTGTAATCGGTGCATCGGTATGTAGGCCTAAAATCAAGGACACTTTATAGCGGATTGATCATCAGTGCCCGTAAGATCATTGCACTGATACGAATTCTACGCCAAAATAAAGGTTTCTATTTGTCTTTATTTAATATGTATAACTTTTCTTACACTCAATTAACGGATATAAAATTTCCTTCTTCATAAGTATAATAACGTGAACGATTAATTTTTAGTTGAGAATTATTATTATTATTATTATTATATTACCACACACATGCTTCAAAAGCAGTCTTTTGTTCCTTTTCCCTGATCGATTACTTCGAAAATGATCTTCGTCTATTTCGACATACTACAAGCAAAGTCGAAACAATACTAATTCAACAACCGAAACGCAATTACGATCACTCTGATTATTTGTATTTAAGACAGAAAAGACACTTCCAACACGCTGCTTATTTTGGTTGAAAATCAGTTTGACATAACTTTGCCCATTTCTTTTCAGAAATGATTATTTGTTTAACGACTATAAATAACTGATTATCGGTTTCACGAAGAATATATTTCACACAAACTTTGGAGAATAAAAATAGGTGGCGCCAATTCTGACAAAGATGGCTTCGATTGTTTTTATTGAAACAATTCAGGTGTTGTTGCAACATTTTTAAGGTTACAGTTTGAGAAACTAAAACACATGTATGTAAACAAATAAGGTATATTTGGTAGGACTGAGGTTTCCACTGCAGTAAGTCCGAAGGTAGCTGTCTTCTGGGTTGTAGCGCCATGTAGTCTGATAGAAGTTTGCCGACGTTTCAGAGGTCATACTGCCTCCCTCATTAGGGCTATGACTGCAAGGCGCTATCCAGAAGATAGTCATCTCAGGTCTATTTCTTCCACAACTCGATCCTGTGATGCCAATTACTTATATATGATATACATTATTCTCATAAGAAAATAAAAATATCTCATTATCAAAAACAAGTATCGAACTACATCAGTAATCGGTCACAATTCTCAAAACAGATAGCACGAGGGAACTTTGCATTCGTTTTGCAGAGTCTGTTCAGATAAAAATATTAATATCTACTGGCAAACAGACTTCGTTTTACTTTTATATAATCCGGCAGTATCTGTCTGGATACTTCTGAAATATCTGTTATCTATGTTATGGCATCGTGTTATCTCATAAATGGTTACCAACGTTTCGTAAATTCAATCCTAAATATGGAGGTCAAACTTTCCTCCTAAATGTCAGCCACCTGTAAGACCACACGACGTGAAACCCCTGGGGACCACAACCGCTGTGGAAACTTCAAATCTAAAATATTACATTTGTTATGAGGATCTGTTACAGTTTCTGAATTTATAAGATAGTGTAATTGCGTCATATTTTAAATATTGTGATAAGACGGATTAAAATAAATAATTGTTCTGAATTTATATATTGTAACCATTCACACACAGAAGAAGGCAATGGCAAACCACTTCTGGATCATCTGCCAAGAACGTATATGAACAGGTCCCAGTCCGAGAAAAGGATGGAAGGATCCTGTTCATATGGACCTGTCGTCAGACAGAACACTAAATAAATATAAATAACCAATAAGTAGAATATGACGACTAATCTCAGTACAAATATCTGATTGCATGGCGATTATAAAGTCGTGGCTAAAGATGAATGCCAAAGGAACGGTCGCATCTTATGATCAGATGCCACCACAACTTCTAACTAAAGTACACCCGTCCGCTCTTCGGGAGATTGTCTGATACGAATTGTGACATGCACCACGTAGCGACGCTCGGCGATGAAAATGTTAACAGCCTGTTTCTGTTCCTCTGCTGCACAGCTAACACAAAATAAACACACAAAACTTCTGTCACATTCAACAAACTCTACACTAAACAGTAGGAAACCCCATAAATGTCTGAGAAACTTGAACATCTTTCTTACGACACGCATTTTTGTTTTTGAAGTACGCATGTGCAGAACTTCGACACTGAACTCCACATTCAGCGTTATTTCGATTTTAGTGGCTCTGTATCGACTTTTGAGATAAGAATAATCGAAATGTGGTTATATAGAAAGAAAATGATCAAAGAAATATATTAAGTAGAATAAACTCAACCGAACAACCACATACACAATACAATTTAATGTATCGCAGAGTAGCCACGGTGGTCTAGCGGTTAGAACGCTGGTCTTGTAATCCTGGGGTCTCGGGTTCGATTCCCGGCGGCGCCCGAATTTATAACTTGTGTTGGGCAAGGCCGTGGTCTAGGCAACACGGAGTTTTCCTCCGTGGCATCCCAACAATTACTCCATTCACACACAGAAGAAGGCAATGGCAAACCACTTCTGGATCATCTGCCAAGAACGTATATGAACAGGTCCCAGTCCGAGAAAAGGATGGAAGGATCCAGTTCATATGGACCTGTCGTCAGACAGAACACTAAATAAATAAGTATCGCAGAAACAAATACAATTTTGACGTGTCTTGTGACCAGGTCCAGGTCCACATGTTAAGAGGTGTAGCAAAAATCTAATAACAAAATAGCTGGGCATCGAGCTCATACAAAGTTCGTAGGAAGTCAGCATTAAACATGACAATACTATGTGATTCAACTCAATACACGCTTGTTATTTAGGTCGAAAATTTTACAGTTTTATCTAAAACTCCAAAGGAAGTTATTAAACACGGGTTTTGCCAAATATTTTCTATGGTTGTGAAAGGCGGCCTCCTATTTTGATTGATGAGAAACAGTTTTAATTGTTGAAATCAAAGTGTCCAAGAAAATATTTAGACGTACGAGGAATTTTTTCAGTACGAAATTCAAAATATTGTATAATGAAGAATGGCAGAATAATGGAATCTAGGAAGCTGTGATGTACACGTAACTCCTTTCAGAAATTAATAAAAGGATAAATTAATTTTGGTGGGGAAACCACTGGAAAATTGGCCACTGAGAAAATCAAGTAGGATCTGGGGGACAAATACCAAGAATCTTAGAGAAACACGTTATGAAGGTGACAGGTGGATGGAAGTGCTTCACCATCGTTTCCAGTTAGTTACACAAAAGTATCAAGTGCAGACCACAAATTATGAAGCTCGTTACACGCCCTATAACTTTCGCAGTCTCGCATTACTTCAGTTACGTGAGGATAAATTACTTTCCTCAACACCTTGTAGTCAGTTTTCGTTCTTAGCACGGCAGGAGTGCCTCAAATCAGGCCACAGACCCCATTCTTGTAACATCTATTTTTCAACATCACTTCATAGTCGTTATGTTCACTAGGCCTATGAGCGCGAAAGATGGATTAATATTTATGTCGTGGGAATAAATCCCCCCCCCCCCGGAACAACATCGTATGAGAGTATATTCGTCTTCATAAAGTTATAATAACAAAAGGATTATGAAATTATATGTGAAAAACTTTTCTTTAAATTATCTTTTTTCAGGGCATTGACTTCAAGAAGTATGAGATTAACGGGATATGTAGCACGCATGGAGTACTTGAGAAAAAGTTTTAGTTGAAAAACCTAAATTGAAGCGATCATTTGGAAAACAAGTACAGAAAGGAGGATAATGTTAAAATTTACTTTAAGGAAACACGTTGCGAAATGTAAGCTTCCCAAACGAAATCTACACATTAAGTCAGAACAATATTTGTATTCTCAGCAATTCTGTGAAAAAATTTCTGATGTATTAACTTCAATTTGAGAAATATAAAAGACGCTGATTTTGTGAGCTGTTATAAGTTATACAATTAACTTCACAACAAAGAAATTACGTCTACAACAAACATCCAGGAAAATGACGTACGCGAAACAAAAAAGAACTAATTTGAAAAATGTGTGCGCTGTCGCACTTCAAATAAGCGCGCACGCGCCGGGATTGTCGTCATAGTTCGCATGCAAAGCGCCAAACGATGCGGGCCAATAAGAAATGTATGAATGACGTCACAGCCGGCGCGGTCTTGTGTGTTACAGACATGGTGTCGTCAGTACGGAGCGCTCGGACGAACTTGCGAGACGTGGGCGGTTTGACGCTACCACCACCGCCAGTGTTTGAGGTCGCGACGCTGCCGACCACCTGCTAGTCACTTCAACTTCAACACTCCAGCGTGCTACATCGTCAGCTGTCAAACTTGTGTTGATGTTTCCACTGGTCCACTTCACGCACTTGATACAAATTATATGCAGTTGAGTTACGGAGACATTAGGATGTGTCCAAGAACAATTATTTAAATTACATGCGTCAGCACAATTAATTGTAGCATAACACGCATTTTAAGTGCGTAAGTGAAGACTTCACACGATAAACTATTATACACAGAGACAACGTATTTTAAATAATGAAATCACAAATTAAAATTACTGATTTATAAAATATTCCTGTACGTGAAGAAAAATTTACTGAGGAGCGGTGTTCTAAAATTTGTTCGTCTTGTCATTTGTGTATTAAAAGTAACAAATGCTCACTTAAAAACTAAATATCATATACGTGAGAATAAATTCAGTGTCGGTACGAATTTCATGTTGGACAATTTACGTGTTAAAAACATTTCAACAAGATAATGTTCATCTATTATGAAGTGTTATGTGGTGTATAGATATTTATTGTCACATTCAAGACTGGAAGTGTTTTGAAGTAAATGAAAATTTCGTTCTTTACGACTATAAAATAATGGAAAAATAGATATTTTGCAGACAATATTCCACCTTCATAAAATCATGTCAAGTTGCTACATCAACTACAACAGCAAATCGTTGGCAATCTTCATGATCCTCGCATTCTTCTGTCATTCTACTGGTGAGTAATGGAAGAGAACTGTCTGTTTCTTTTCAACTTGAACTCTCTAGTACAAACGCCAACCCAAGTGCTTTCTTCAGGTAGTTCTTTCCATGTCTGTCTTATTATTCGTTCGAGACGTAAAAACCAGAGACAGTGCAGCCTTTTAGAGAGTTTTATTTGACTCGTACAATTAAAAATAAATTTAATACTTTCACCAAAACGAATATGTATGGATTTCGATTCTGTATATTCATTTACCACAGCGCACATACTTTTTTTTCCAATACAATTTACGTCATATTTATTTTTTAACAGTGCTGTAAGTCATTCATGTTAACTGTCACTTCTTAAACAAATCGATGAGTTCGGAATCCTTCAGAGATTACCGTGGACCTGTGTGTTAAATGGCGAGCTTCAATATCAGAGGTAATTCTGTGGCGACAGAATCAGTAAGCATTATTTACATAATGTCTTACCCACCTCTTTTGCTCAAACGTTTTCCTCAGGAACCTAGCAACTGTCTTGCTAACTAAAACAACAATCATTGCGCTTTTAATCTTTCACACTTTCTTGCACAGATACTGTTCTATAATTATTTTATAGCTAAAGAAACAAGCGTAAGACAACGAATTTCGGTGTTGTGAACAAAGGATCCTTAATTCGTATTCGTACGTTCCTAGTTCGAGTCTCTCCCACAATCCTGATATCCTAACTGAAACTTTCCAAGATTTTCCCCCTTTTCTGATAAAGTCTCTGGTACATTAGAACAGATCACTGCTCTTTTAAAACTTGTCGAGATGTTAGTTTGGAGATAATGAAATTAACCACGAAGATTTTTCGACAATTCATGCCATCTATTCTCTTTTCGCATAATTAATTTCCTTTCATCATCGACAATCCTCTAAAGTTATCATACTCATCCAACAACAAAAGCAAAGCAGTCCTCTTGTGGACAAACAATTAGCAAAGCTGTATCACTGTAAGACAACATGACCTTGCGTGCGCAGACGTCGTTTCGCGTTGTCGCACGCTGCAGTTGCGTGCGCGGCGTTGAAGGCCATGTCCAACAAATAACAGAGACTTAACTATAGCAATTCACTAATATTTTGAACTTCAGAAATAGTTCCGTTCTTCAGCAATATACTTATAATAGATTCATAATGTGGACCGTTCGAACTTTAGGGTTTCCTTAATGTTCCTCAGCCCTTTTGCAAAAAGCACTGCATTGTGCTCTTCAAAATGCCAAGTAGCGGTCTATTAATTATCGTAATTGGTAAATATGCCCTTTGTTTTACAACAGAAGTTCATTATCGACACGAAGCGTGTAGTGATCACCTGTCTTTGTGTTTATCTAGTTACTACGGAAACTCCAGAGTTTGATAAAACCAACTGACCCAATATCCATAGTTTTGTGTATATTCCACGTCGATGAAATGTGAAACTGTACAATAAGCGGTTTAAGTCCGGCACGTCTTAAATCACTCGCTCTGTGACTAATCAGATGACTAATTATACTTTATAAACCAGTGACTAGTATAATAACGATTAGTCGATCTCTGACTGCACAATTAAATGAACCTACTGGATACATTACTAAGTAATTAATCAGCTGGAAACCCAGCGTATTAATTATAAGACAGTCTAATTATTATCTGACTAATTAAATCATTCACAAACTAGCTGAATTACTATCTGATTAACTACATAATTCGTTAACTAACCACTCAGTTACCAACCGACAAACTCCATTAAATGAACAGACTCCACATTATTTATCCAATGAATATATTTCCTGTTGTTATGTAGTCCGAAGTTTCATAACCGCCATTATAACAGCACGCCATTGGACCCTGCACTACGCCATTTCATCACAGCCTAGTTCACACCCAGACAGCCGTACAGTCCGCAACCATGTATCCTAAGACCCTCTTCCAGCGGATTTATTACAGATAAATATCTGCATATTTTTATCAGAATAATACCATGTGCTTCATGATCTTCTTACTTCAATCCGCCTAAAAATTCTAGAAAAAGAAGTTATGACCGTCCTCTTTATGCGTGTTCATGTTCTATAATTTCTTTCTTTCCTAATATTCTCTCAGCACACTTGCTCAAAACCGTTCACCCTGATAATTAAAGCAGCAAGGACGTATGAAACGTCAGCAAACTTGTACCAGACTACGCGGCGAAATAACCCAGAACACAGCTATCTTATGCGTTATAATTAGGACGACGGAAAGTTTCCCGGTCTCATTCGTTAAAAAACAACGTAAGTTATTTGTGCGCATTGGCCTTATAAAAATTACAAACGGCTAGGACCTGAATCACCTTACGACACTTACATATGGTTTAGACCAGTGGCGACACTGCACGTTTCCCAGCTGTTGTTATATAACAAGAATAACCACCAAAATATCACACCACAAAGTGTTCTTGGACCAATTCCACGCACTATATACCGGGATGAATATCAGATCTGTGCCAACGCAGAATCCCGCAGAAAACACATCCAGTGTCAGTTACGGGAATATCAGTTTGTTATTTGCGAGCGTCCAAAGCTGAATCACCCCCCCCACACACACACACACACACACACACACACACTCCCCCTTTCTCCGTTGCTTTCAGACTGCGTTGCGCTACGACTAAAGCTACATCATTCTTTAAAATAATATACAGCGTGATTTTAAAAAAAATGCCAAATTGGAATAATCTCCTGACTCTTTGCCTTCTTCCATTAATATATTTCTTAAAATCTGTTTTATTTTTTTCTTTCTTCCCTTTCGTTGTAAACGTGTCCTTCTCCCTGCGTTTCTCCCCAATTTCCTTATTATGCCCCCTGTCTCCTATTCTGAAGCCCCGGTTTCGGATCTCGGCCTAGAGACCGGATATCCTAGCCGAGGTGGAATTCTTTCGTGGATCTCTTCAGTGCCCTTAAAGTTATACTGACGTAGCACCTTAAAATAGGCCACAACCGCGTTCTCCCATGTCAATCCATCATTCATATTCATCCCACACTTCAAGAAACAATATAAGCCTCTTTTGTGTTCAACAGTAACACAATTTATTACAGCATTGCTTTTGAGAATTACACTGAATGTATAGCATTCATAAAACTGAATGTGAAAACATCTTCATGGTGACTGAATCGAGATTTCTGCCAAACGCACACTCCGCCAGACCCCACTAAAAGCGACAATATAATCTCGTCCGCGTTTCTAACGACTAGAATCGACACCCGGCAGAAATTATTTTCAATTTTCCATATTGCACGAACGGCGGGCTCTCAGCGTCACAATTGGCACGCATTGGCAATTATATTAGGAGTAGATACACGGTACATGAAATTAGCCTACACGATTAACGCAGTTGAAGCGTAGTTAGATATAGAATCGATGGTCACTCCGCGTCATGTGCCACGGTCCTCAGTGTGAGAAACACTCCATATATTTAAAAATAAAGACCATAACCTAGGTAACGGCCGGACCCCTTCCTGGTTTACTTTTCACGTCTCCGGTCTGTCAGGTTTCGAGTCCCGGTTACTCAGTTTAGTGTTTCTTGAATACCCAATGTTGGCGGAAGCTACATTACAGCTCCGCCCTTAGCGATCTCCCTGTGGTTGCAGGGTGAGGAGTTCCTCTTGTTTATTCATGCTGCCGAATGTTAAGAGCTGATTTGATGTCACACTTCATTCACGTCATGGCAAGTGGGTACGTGATGTGATGGCGAACAAATTGAAAGGATGGTGATCACAGAAGCGATGGTAAATCACGTGTGTGCATAACACATCGCGTACTATACAACGTGTTTCAATATCGCAATGACGTGTACAGTGAAGATAATGTACGAGGTGCGATCGGAAAGTTTCAAGACTGCGCGTATAAAAAAAAAACCGTACACTTATCTCAGGTATTAAATTCATCCATCAAGAGTGTGCATCAAATTTTGCCAAAGTCTCGCCAAAACGGCTACGGAAACCTCTGAAATGCTAAAGCAAGCATTTGGGGAGTCCGCAAACTTTTGTGTGGCATTCACGTTTTAAAAATGTCCGAACCTCTGTCGATGATGACGAGCGTTCTGGCCGACCATCTTCGAGCACAACGCCCGAAAATGTTACGAAGATCGACGTCGTACCCTCAACGACTTGTGCGACATTGTTGGGATAGGCTTTGGGACCTGTCAGCTGATTCTAAAGGAAGAACTCCCCATGCGACGCATCATGACAACGCGCCAGCGCACACCGCCCTCAAAGTTAGGCAGTTTTTGGTCTCAAACACCAAGGTCGGCCGTCATCCCGGACCCTCCTTAACTCCGTGTGACTTCTTCCTCTTCCCAAAGATGAAAATTCAGCTAAAGGGAAGGAGATTTGAGACGATAGAAGAGATTCAGGCAGAATCGCAGATGGTGCTTGACAGGCTGACAAAGAAAGATTTCCAGGGATGCTTCCAGGCTTGGCAGCGGCGCTGGGATCGTTGTGTTCACTCCCAGGGGAACTACTTCGAGGGTGATGGATGAATTTAATACCTGAGATAAGTGTACGGGTTTTTATAGGCGCAGTCTTGAAACTTTCCGATCGCACCTCGTATAAACTACTGTGGCATTTGAACCGTGGTAAATGTAAGATACTTTGTTAGTTTAAAAACAAATGAAGAAATATGATTATCTTAAATTAATTCGGAATGGATAAGATAGATTAAAAAAAATTAAACGAAGTTTCCAAATGTGCTTTTTGAGATTTTCCACCCGATTACTGGTTTCGATGTTAATTTCTTGCTGATACAAATTTACTGTTAACAATCTAATCGACATTAAACATATTTCACAGTATAAAATAATAGGTCTATACATAGCCATATAGACAGGTTCCTACTTAACCCGAGGTCCGAGAAATGCTACAGCTGAAAGTTTAATTTCCTACTGTTTTATACAACTAACAGATTAAACGAAGTGTTACTAAGGGAAAATTGGACAAATATTTACACTTCGGATCAGCATTTCCTGTCCGAAAGCTTATCACA